ATTAGACTCTCTAATTAAGCACACTAATCATAACTACTTAGCCAATTATTCTTATTAATTCTTTACACAAAAATATTAAATGTCTATACGAAAATATCTTCCTATGACTATTATTAATTAGAACAGTGATAGCCCAAAAACCAATTTATTATTCTTGAAACCCTAATAACCTACGCCTAGTTCACGTTAATAATGAATAACATACGTCTAACTTACATTATACTAGATTTTGGTCCACGCCAAGCGTGGGATTAAATGATTAAATATATTTATAATCTATTTTAATATATAAACGTGTCTGACAAATCATATGATTTCTAATCTTTATAAACTTACAAAATGATATGCATTGTGCATAAGTATAATCAAGTTAAATTTTGATCAAACATATTTTGATGCCATTAGTTTTAATATTTTTATGTGCAATTGATCAGAACATATGAAAATGTTATTTATTTCAATATATTTTAAGCGTAAAATTAAATTTTTATTATTCATGTAAATTATAGAGCATGCGATCAATCAGATAAATTTTAGATTTATATGAATTTGTCGGACATAATAAACGAAAAATAATATATATTTTCCAATAATGAAATGTGTAAATATTTTATATATCATATTAATCTAAATACATATATACACAATAAATAATATTGTCACAAACATAATAATAAAAAGTTTTTAAAAGATAAAAAAAGTTTTAAAAATAGATAATATGATAAGTCTAAATATTACATTTAGTTGGACTTAAATTTGTAAAACATGTATTAAAGGGTTTATCTATAAAATTAATAAGAATATGTATAATTAATTGAAATATTTTCATTGGTTAATTTAAATGACATCTTCCTTGAAACCCTCATTGAGTGACATATAGGATTTTCACCTTAGTGTCTCTTCAAATAATATATAGACGATATTGAATTCGTTTACATTCAATTAGAACCTTTTTCCATTCTTCTCTTATCAACAAATAAAGTTTTTTTTTAATGTTTTCTTTTATGCTAATGATATTATGGATTTAAATAATTCTAAATATTTCTAAGGCATTCCGGTGAAGGTAAAAATTAAATTTTCTTTTTATATTGAAATAAATATCTGCATTTTTCCATTCTTCTCTTATCAACAAATAAAGTTTTTTTTTAATGTTTTCTTTTATCTAATGATATTATGGATTTAAATAATTCTAAATATTTCTAAGGCATTCCGGTGAAGGTAAAAATTAAATTTTCTTTTTATATTGAAATAAATATTTGCATTTTAATTGTATCTAAAAATAATATTATATAAAGTTATATGCACATTGTATCATGATTCATGTACTTCTTTAGCAATACTTTTATCATCTGGTCAAATTTATGTTGCTACCTTCTCCATATATAAATTTTTTGTGTTTTTGATTTTATACAATTAATTTTTATTATTTTTTGAAGGCGAATTTTATACTATTAATTAATTGACATTCTAATATATTATATAATACTTTAAGCAAATTTAAGAAAATAATAGAATATCAATGTGAATATTTTTATAATTTACGTAAAATTAGAAAAATGTTTAATCAAAGGGCCCAAATTCAATATTACATCTAACAAAAAACAATGTTCATCTAAAATCTATTCGAATAAAAAAAACCAAAATCAAACTATACAATATTATCTATAGTAGATATTTTCATCTACTATGGATAATATTATCCATAACAATGTTCATCTCAAATTCGCTGTCAATCTTTTATGAAGAATTATTTGTTTTCATTGTTTTAGTTTGTTTTATTGTAGCAACCAAGGAGGATGATGTCCCTTCTTCTTTATATATCTCCAAATTTTAAATTTATGAAGTTAAGTTTGCCCAAACAAAAAAAAGATATTTTCATTTTAGATATTGTTATTCACAAATAGAATAATTCACATGGGTTTAACCAAATGAATATTAAACACAATTAAACATAATATGTTTTGTTTTGTCAAATTTTCATGTTATAACAAGATTTGAACACAAAGTAATAATGGTTTGG